GTTTTCCCTTTCTACGAAGACACCAGTTCTTGGATTAGGGTCCACCCAAAACAAGCATGAACTTGTCTTAACTACTCAAACTTGCAAAGATCCCAACTCCACATCAGGTGGACATGGATTTAGGGGCTACTGCTCAGCCCTGTACACTCCTGACGCAGATTGGCCTACAGTGGTTGTGCTCTTGTCCTGGCCACTGTCTGGGTCATGGCCTCCAGCACAGCCAGTGCCAGGGCTGCGTGGACCGACAAGAGCACCTGAGGGGCTGCTGGGCCCTCCCCGGAGCCCAGGCACCGGCTGAGCTTTGCTGCACCTGCCCTCCCCCTCCGACTCACTCACAGCCTGTGTGCTCTGTCTTTTGATTGTGACCATCAAAAGAGACTCCTTGCTGCAGGGAGGAGCTTGGTGCTCCAAGTGTGGGTTCCTGGACAGATTTTTATCTGGTGCTTTGCTGCCTTTCTTTAAGTTGTGTGTAAGAGACCACAACGCTGTATACCCATGGTGGCAACTTGCTTTCACTATGAGGTAGAAAACATCTATTTGCATTTTCCACCCCCTCCTCCCAACTCCCACATCTTGTGAGAAAGAAAAACAGACCTCTATTTCGGAATGTGACTGCTGGTATTTCTCTCCTCTGCATCCTTGTCTTTCCATTTCTCCTTCCTGCCCGGTGTGGAGTGGCAAGGACAGAATTACCGCAGCACTGATAAATCTCTTCCAAGCAATCCCTTTTACCTGGGCCCCTGACATGAGCGTGCTGTGGGGAGGAGAAAGCCAGGCATGTGGGGAGGCTGCAACTCTCCAGGCAGAGAAAGAAGGAAACTCATCAGCTCCATAAACACAGCCACAGAGCTCTTGGCCTTGAATCAGATCAGCAGATTTGCACTGGTAAACCTGACAAAGCCTTTGGAAAACACAGACACAGGAACTTCCAAACATCTAAGAGCTCAGATTTAATGGCCTGAAGTCCAAACTTGGGTAGATAAGAGAAGTATTTTCCTCCAGGTTCTGAGCTGACCCAGTGATTTATGACATATTGATAACGGTAGGAAAATGTGAGACCGGTAGAACTGACCACTAACTTGTAACCGTGGAAAGTCATGAGCTGCCATTCAGTTCCCTAACCAGCATTTAACATGTTGGAATAAGTTACTTTGCAGAGGAGTGTTTAGAACAGAAAGCACTTTTCATTGCGGCAACACCTTGGAATCCCCTGGGATTCTGATTTAATCCATCAAAAGGTGAAGCCTAAGTGCTTCGTGGGTGTTTTAGGCTCCCCAGGAGGTGCTAATGGGTAGCTACAGTTCAGAAGCACGGGAGTAAAAAAGTCAAAATGGTGGGTGGTTATTAGTACCCAGAGAATTGGCTACCAAGCAGCAAAGTATGATGGGAGCTCTGTCATCATTTCTGGCGTTTGGACTGACCGCCTTTCCCAGTAGGTGGCTACTTCCCCAAACAGCAGGCCAGGAGCTTGGAAGGAGTGGATTCTAGTCCATTAAATGTGTGATTTTTATGGGAAACCACTGCCTGTTGGAGCTTGGAGCAGGGTCTGGTGGCTTGGCCTCCCCGTGTTTGTCCTCCTGGGTCACACGCGTCTCACTTTCCCTGCCCACCCGTGTCTGGGGCTTCACTGTGGCCTCCAGTTCTCCCATCCCTTTACCCCTTGATCCTATAGAAGTAATGAAAACATTCATAGCAACTCTCAGTTCCTCAAAGAACACACGTGAGGCTTCTCTTCTGGCTAAAACTTGCGTACAGTATTTTGGTGGTGGTGGGGGTGACACTGAACGTAATTGAGAAATACACATTGTGTGGCTAAGAGGGAGCAAAGCAGGAGTGAGAAACACACAAAGGATGTGTGTAGGTGTAGATCCTCAAGGACTTTATATCAGGCTCAGGAAATTATAGCCCACAGGCCAAACCCAGCTTTCCAAGGGTTTTATTGGAACACAGCGATGCTCCTTAAAAAACTTTTTTAAAAAAGTTTATCATCTTTGGCTTCTTTTGTGCTATCATGGCCAAGTCCAATCGTTGTGGCCTATTTTCGCATCTGAACTGCAAAGCCTAAAATGTTTACTAGCAAATCCCTCATAGAAAATTCACCATGACTGACCTAGACAAACACATACACACTGGGGAACTTCAAAAGGGTCATGGAGAAATGAAATTGAAAGATGAGTTTGGGAGCAGGCATTTGTCCTGATGGGGGGGATGCCAGCTGCAATGCCCATGTCCCATGTCAAGCTGCCTGAGTTTGAGTTCAGCTCCCAGCATTAGCCCCAGCCCAATCCTGATCATTATGGACTTTTGGGGAATAAACCGGATTATAGGAGCTAGCTCTCCTTCTCACGTGCTATCTGCCTCTCAAAAAAAATTATTTTTAAAGATGTTTTTTCCCATGACCTTGTTGAAGTCCCATCGTGTGTGTGTACACATCCATCCATCCTTTTAACAAATGTCCATGTTGTAGACACTGTAGCAGGCTGCATTGGATGCATCTATGTAAGACAGAGGGCTCTTGCCCCCATGAGCCTTGGAGTCTACTGAACTATCCATCAGTCCTGAGCAATAGGTAAGCACCCCAAGGGAGGACTGTGCACTAAATCAGAGGGGACCTGAAGGTCTGAGGCTGAGCAGATCCAAGGGGAGAGGCAATCATCTCTGAAGCCTCGAGGTGGCGTCTAGGCTGAACAGGGTGAACATGAGGAGGGGGCCTTGGCAAGATGGGAATGAAGAGACAGGGAAGTCCAGGTGATAGCTCAGGGCCGCCAGTGCCAGGGTGTCTGCCTCCCGGGACACTGGGTGGGGAGGGGAAGGATGCCTTTGTCACCACTTCTCTTCCACACGGGAGTCAAACTTCCATGAGGGTGTGGACCTCCATCTGCAGAGCTAAGCACGATGCTTGGCCTACAGTGGGCCCCTGGTGAATATTATCCAGAGAACTGGACAACAGATGAGTGAACGAGTGTTTGAGTGTCAGGCTGGATAGGCGTGTAGTCCAGTGAGTCAACCATCAACCCTGGTGAAAGGAGCACTGATCCTTAACCAAGAGTAGCTGGGGGGGTGGGGGGCAGCGCTGTTGCTCACATGCTAATCCTCCGCCTGCGGCGCCAGCATCCCATGTGGGTGCTGGGTTCTAGTCCCGGTTGCTCCTCTTCCAGTCCAGCTCTCTGCTGTGGCCCGGGAAGGCAATGGAGGATGGCCCAAGTGCTTGGAACCCTGCACCCACATGGGAGGAAGCACCTGGCTCCTGGCTTCGGATCAGCATAGCTCCGGCTGTAGCGGCCATTTTGGCGTGAACCAACGGAAGGAAGACCTTTCTCTCTGTCTCTCTCTCTCTTTCACTGTCTAACTCTATCTGACAAATTAAAAAAAAAAAAAAAAGGAGCTGGGAAGATAAGAAAGATGGTAGGCCGGCGCCGCGGCTCACTAGGCTAATCCTCCGCCTAGCGGCGCCGGCACACCGGGTTCTAGTCCCAGTTGGGGCGCCGGATTCTGTCCCGGTTGCCCCCCTTCCAGGCCAGCCCTCTCCTGTGGCCAGGGAGTGCAGTGGAGGATGGCCCAGGTGCTTGGGCCCTGCACCCCATGGGAGACCAGGAAAAGCACCTGGCTCCTGGCTCCTGCCACCGGATCGGCACGGTGCGCCGGCCACAGCACGCCGGCCGCGGCGGCCATTGGAGGGTGAACCAACAGCAAAGGAAGAAAGACCTTTCTCTCTGTCTCTCTCTCTCACTGTCCACTCTGCCTGTCAAAAAAAAAAAAAAAAAAAAAGAAAGATGGTGTTTACTGAGCAACTACTGCGTAACAAAACTTGTACAAACACCAGATCAGCTCATCCTATCGGTCACCCTTTTATTTTACAGAGGAAGAAATTAAGTTTCACAAAAGTCAAACAGTGGTCAAGTTCACACAGTGAGAAAATGCAGAGCTGGCATTCAAAACCAAGTCTTGTTTTTCTAGTCTCAAACCCAACGCTGTTGGCACTTGCCCACGCCTGCCAGTTGTTTGCATAACCTGCTTCGTTGAGTCCCCGTAACAGCTCTCTGGCCAGTGCGGTAGCAGCGTCAGGCCCTCTGCTTTACCTATCAAGCTTCCTGAATCCATCTTGGCAAACAGTGGTTGGGGGAACAGCAAAATCAGAAACCACTGCCCAGGACCACACCGCTCCCTGAAATCAAGCCGGAAGGTGTGGTTTCTGGCTTTTATCCAACCCCCATTTGCTGTGAGATTATGGGTTGGCCACTTCTCCCTCCACACACGTGGGAGGTGCAATGACATTCTTTCTTAACTTCCCAGAGAGGACAAGATGAAGTGAAATGCTCACAGGATAAATGAAAACGGCTGGGTCACCCTGAAAAATTCTAGATAAAGTTTAACTCCAACAATGGCAGCAAACTAGGGCGCTGTGATTAGCCACTGGGCGTTGTTCAGGGGTTGGCTCTTAGGATGCCCCCACTTGGAAACCAAAGCCTGGAGATGCCCGAGTCCCTTACCTGAGATGGCAGGTGGCGTAGTATTTGCTTGTAACCTCTGCATATCTCCCCACATATTTTAAATCACCTTCAGATCACTTATAGTACCTCGCGTGAAAGTGAGGTAAATGGTTGTTATACTGTACTGTTTAGAGAATTAAGACAAGAATCAAGTCTCTATGTGTTCAGTGCAGGGATTTTCAATCCACCATTGGCTGAATCGGCAGATGCAAAACCCAGGAATACAGGGCCCGCTGCTGTCACTGCTGGAAGCCTTGGCAGATGCCTGCAGATAGCATCTACAACTAGGACTTCATTGTTTTTAAGGCAGCCTACCACACAGCAGAACCCCAGAACCTCTGTCTCCTATGTAAGTGCAGCGCACTATGCATTATTCAACCTTTTCTCCTCTCCCCCTTTCCCCTCTGAAAAGCAAACATGATCTGATATTTTGACCCTCCCCCACAGTAGTCAGCAGACGACAGAGTACAGGGATGCTGGGAGTCGCGTCCACCAGGCCTCGTGACTTACCAGGAGAGATGTAACAGGTGGATGTACTGGTTCTCAAAGAACTCATAACTGGAAACCATGTCACTTTCATCTATAGCTTGACCATTCTTATACCAAGTTATCTCTGGCTTGGGCTGACCTGATGATAAAGAAACAAGAATATTCTTAAGTGTTTTTAGAAAAAAAAAAGTCATAAAGCTGTGAACAAGAGTAGGCCATAAACAGCATGACAGATTGAGTCAGTTGGGGCGGTAAAAGGCTTCCTCTCTCCTGATACCAATGTGTTAACTCAGTAAGTGCTGTTGGGTGCATTTTGTTGCCCAAGGTGTTGCTGGACTAGGAGTGGGAAAACCAGTTGAAAAATGTTGTCCTTAATCCCTAGGGGCTATTAAGAAAAGTTATCCAATACTTGGAAATACTGCAATGATATGAAAACAAAGACCCAGCCAACAAGGATGTTGAGGAACATATTTGTTTCACTCGGTGGCTCTTACTGATTGAAATTCCCGTTTCAGTATGTGAATTTGTAGGTTTTTTTTTTTTTTTATCCAAATGATTTCCATTAAGGAGAAAAGATAACCTCAAAACTATGGGGTTATTTTTTGTCTCCAAAGACATTAACCAGTATTAATCTAACCCAGCAACTGTGTCCTAATATTCCTTTATTAAATTGCCTATAAATGCCTAGCTCCTCAGGCCTTAATAGCTTCTGATTCTGTTTAATTAATGAGTTGATCCAAATCTTTGAAATGTTCCTTTCATATTTGCATAGGAATCGCTGTACCTTCTTGAAAAGCACACTTTAGCAGTGCTAAGAGCAAAGTGGCTCTGCAAACACTGTGTTCTTGGTGAGGACAAAGGAGGGTGGGTGTGGGGAGCAACCGAGACTAGACTAAATTACTGGAACTGCTAAGACTAATTCTATGCATCTGATCTCCCACCATATGGCGCTGAGAGAAACAACTTCCACACAGCTGCCTCACCAATTCGACTAACAAGCTGCAGGAGCTGATCCTGCCCCTGATTGGAGGAGAGCAGCGTGCTCAGCGCCTGGGGAGAGAACACCAGGAGAGTTGGGATTGGTGGAAGAGGACTATTAAAGAGGAGACAGACAACATGCACCAGGAACATCTGAGGAACCCCTGAGAGAGCCGGCTGGCAGTGTGCCGCTCCTCCGCGGAGGCGGCGCGGGGGTGGGCAGCAAACCCGGGAAGGGCCGGGCATAAAGAACAGCGCAGGGTCCGGTGTCGTTCCTCCACGAGTGGGGGAGCGACAGGTGGGATGCAGACTTCCTGGCTGGTGTGTGCTTGCGGGACTGACGTCCTCACAGACCCTGACCCTTGCTTGCTCAGGAGGGCTTCAGCCATCCCTGCTGTTCACTAACCAGGGGTGATGTTAAGGGGCTCATCTGGCAAAACCCTCGGAGCGCCGTCCGCCCCGGGGAGCCCTTCCTTCCTCATACACGGCAGCGGGCTCGCTGTGTGTCCCAGCGAGCTCCTCTCCAGCCTCCCTGTCCCTATCACTGTGCCACACATCCGGGAAGGAAGCCCCAGCATTGGGAGGTTCTGCATCATTCCGAATCCAGCCCAGGAGTGCTCTCACGATTCGGTCTTCCTGGTGGGTTTTTGGCAAACAACCCCAGAGACTGCTAAGGGCAGAGCTCCCTGCTCTTGGGAGCCACAGAAAAGGGAAAACTAAAGGAGAAGAAGGCAGGGAGACCTGCATCCCAGGCAGGACCTGAGGACACTCAGAGGCCCTCTCCCTCCCTCCACATCCCCTGCACCGGTGCCACGAAGGTACTGTTTGGCAACGGTGGGCTCCTCCTCCTTGCCTCTTCCTTTAGGTGGAGTCCTTGTGCCTGGGAAGAAGGATGGAGCTTCCTTCAGCAGCTGTTTGCCCAAGCCTCTCACAGGCAAAGGACCAAACCACCAAACGTGGGCTGCTCTGAGAAGCCACCCAGGAGGCTGCTGGTCACAAGTCCTGCTCTTGTCGACCTGTGGCCTGCTTTCAGAAAGTCTCCTTTCATTGCAGAAAGTATCTAAAGCATGCATGTGCTGAGCCTGGCTCCCTGTTCATTCAAGCTGATGAGGGCTCCCTGATTTCTCCCCGTGTCCTGGTGGTGGGCTGTTTTTCCTGTGGTGCTGGGTAGATCTGAGCCATCAGCCAGAAACGAGACTCGCATAGGGAAGTGGTGTCTGGTGCCTCATAGGTGGTTTTCTTCTCCTCCCCCTTGCTGAGAACCTGAAAATCCTCCCCCGGTTTTCAGAACCCTCCCACGAGTCTGATGCCGAGAGCTAAGGTGTGTGGGGACCAGAGGGCAGGTGTCAGGTCTGTACGAATGCACAGGGCTCCACTCTGAAGACTCAAGGCCAGCGTGGCCTCTCTGTGTCTCTGGAGGACATTGGATGAGTGCAGAGAGAGGATACTCTGGGCCTGCGCACCGGCTGCTGCATGATGGACAGGGTTTTACAATGACTTCTGCAAGCCAAAGGCAGCGGTTTCCCAGGCTGGCTCTGTTAGGTAGGAAGCTAGAAATCAGCCTCTGTGTGTGTGTGTGTGTGTGTGTGTGTGTGTGTGTGTGATGGGTGCAAGGAAAACAAAGTACCCAGCCTCAAAAGCACAACTGGGAAGCAGCCCAGTATTTTCCGCTACAAAGTCCTGGCCCTACCTCAATCATCCCCAGGTGGCCCCAGCGGTGCCCCCTAAGGAAGGCACAGTGCCCTGTGCAGAGTGGGCTTCCCAGTCTGATAACACTGGGTAACAAAACCTTGGGAGGAATGTTTCCTGTTTCACACTCAGCAAACCTGTAGTTCAGGAGAAGAGAGTGGAGGGGAGAAGGGGCAGGAAGAACTGGACCCCACTCCCTTAGAAGCCCCAGCCTGAACACACACTGCGCTCTCAGCTCCGTGCTGAGATGCCTGCCTGACCGGTCAGGGGTATTCTCTCCGTTACCCTCGGTCACCTTGCTGCCTCCAGTCCGAATGGCTGCGCAGTCTCAGATGCTGTCTGGAGAGGTGCCCACCCCGTTTTGAAGGATGCCCTCCCCTGTTCACCCTTGCTACCCTGTTTATCGCTCCTCTGTCTCTCACACCTGAATTCTTTCCTGTGTGAGGACTAGAACCTCTGTCCCACCATCTCTGCTAACAGCTCTTCTGCTCTCTGGACTTAGAAAAAGTCACCTGCCCTTAGGAAACATCCCAGGCACCTTTCTGTTTTCATAATCCAAGAAAGAAGACAGAACTTCCGCCAGACAAGATACCACTTCCCTATGCAGTTATTTCGTTTTTCTTTTCATAGAATGCTCAATCCCTTTTACCATCCGGGGTGCCGACACCTGCTCTGGTTGGCTCTGAGAGGTAGATCCTCCAATGCAGGGGGCGTTCCAGGCCTCCACTCTTTCCCCCAGCCCCCTCCACCTCAGTGGTAGTCCTCTCCCTGCTTACTCGCATGCCTGCAGAAGGCCAGCCGTGGCGGGCGAATTTAGCTAGTTTGAGGCTATCAGTTAAAGACCAATGGAAGAAGAGGTCCAATAGATTTTCTGGAGCAAAGTGATCCGGGCCATTGCTGTGGGCTATGGGAAAGAGGGAGCAGATGGTCTGAACAGGGAGCCGCGTGGAGTTGCCCAACCAAGAATCGCAGACAGAGAAAATCGCACAAAAGGGAGTTACTCAAAAAAAACTCTTTTAGGAAAATGTCATGGAGGGTTCAGTTGCCTAACTGATCACTCAGAGGGAACTCCCAAAGCAATCTCCGGATGCTGTTTTGATAACGCCTCTGTGAGCCAAGAAGCCCACTGGCAGAGGGATGTTAGGGTTGGTACATTGGCCCGGTGATGGTTACCATATACTATGCAGCGAAGTACAGCGTCCGACCGCTCCGGAACCTTCTGGGAAAGCAGCGTAGACAAAAAGCAAAGTGTGCGCCTCGGGGGGCCGCCGGGCTCTGTCATCCTCTCATGCCACGCAAATCTGAAAAAGAAACATCACCGACATCACCGCATGCCCTGGGATTGCTCAGGCCTTCCTGGAAGTCGGAGGCCTGTGGCAGGCCGGGAACCCTCGCAGCCTGCTGGTAGGGCTGTCCTGGGTAGCGCGCTCTGCAGCCTCCCTGGTCCCCACCCCTCGGAGGGCACCAGCCCGCCCCACCCCTGACTGCATGACAATCCTCGATATCTGAGGACACTGTCCAGTGTCGCCTGGAGCAAGGCATGGGGGCAGCCCTGATTGGGAGCCCCTGGTCCCAAAGTGGGACACTGGTGCTCCTTCTGAGTGCCGGGCAGGCGAGGAGGTGTAAGAGCAGTCTGGGATCTTTGAGTAGGCATGCACTCGCTGAAACAAGTGGGCATCCAACATTTGCTTGGACACCAGACATGTGCTTTCATTTCATCACTCTCAAACTACCTAAGGGATGGTTCTTAGCATCTGCTGCATTCTACAGATGAGGGCCACGGGACTCAGAGAGGCCGAGCAACTTGCTCAGGGTCACACAGCAAGGGTCATGCCTCCCAGGGGCCGCCCCACAGGGCTGTGCAGCTGCCACCTTAGGCTGTGAGGTGCCGCTGCAGCTGCACACAGCACAGCTTGCATGCACGCGAGGCCGTCCTGAGAAGAGAAGTCGGTCTGAACCTAGAGGACTGCTTTCTTTCCACTTGACCCAGCAAATGCTTGTTACACCACTCAGCCAGATCCGTCTGTTCTGGAGCCCTGAGTTTCGGCACGGTGTTTCCTTATATCCAGACACCAGGGTCTCACTTCTCCTTACCACGGTGAGCAGCTCTCACATGCCATGGAGCTCAGGAAAAGAAAAGAACCACACCACGGGGTGATCAGCACGGCCAGGGAAGAGGCGGTTAGAAGTGGCTAATGGTCCATCCAAGGAAACAGTGGAAACCTGAGCTGAGCACTCGGTGGGAGAGGCCACATCTGCATGGCCTTGGCCGGACTGCAGGAGAGGCCCCTTTCCAAATCAGCATCTAACCACTCAGCTTGGAGCCATTTAGAACCAATTCCGCCTCTCTGTACCCACACTTCCAGGTTGTCTTGGACACTCTGAGATGTGTTGAGACTAATTCCCTGACAACAGTTCAAGGTTTTACCAACCCCCAAAAGTCCTCTGATGAGTAGGAATGAACAGAAGAAGAAGGAACCCTGTGGGCCGGCCTGCAGCACCAGCATCCCCTATGGGCACCGGTTCGGATCCTGGCTGCTCTACTTCCAATCTGGTTCCCTGCTGATGCGCCTAGGAAAGCAGCAGAGGATGGCCCAAGTCCCTGGGCCCCTGGAGCCATGTGGGAGACCCAGAAGAAGGCTCCTGGCTTCAGTCTGGCCCAGTCCTGGTGATTGTGGCCACTTGGGGAATGAACTGACAGATGGAAGATTTCTTTCTGTCTCTCCCTCTGTAACTCTGCCTTCCAAATGTAATAAATTTTTAGAAGAGAGAACCAGATGACAGGCAGATGATGTTTTGGGACCTTTGTGTCCGTAGCAGGATGTCGCTCCCCCTCTTCATGGAGGAACGACACAGGACCCTGCGCTGTTCTTTTGTCTGCTCGGCCCTCCCCGGGTTTGCTGCTGGTTCTTCCCGGGTTGGCTACCGACCCTTCCACCTCCGTGGAAGGGCGGTTCCCCCTGCCACATTCCCCACTTCCGCAGGGGAGCGGCACACCGCCGGCCGGCTCTCTCGGGGGCTGCACAGGTGTTCCTCTTAGAGGTTCCTGGTGCATGTTGTCTCTCTCCTCCTTCATAGTCCTCTTCCACCAATCCCAACTCTGCTACCCACACGCCGAGTACGCTGCTCTCCTGCAATCAGGAGCAGGTCCTGCTGTTTATTGGTTGAACTGGAGGCAGCTGTGTAGAAGCTGTTTCCTCCTCTCCCAGCGCCATATTGTGGGAGAGCAGATGCATAGAATAAGTCTTAATTCCAGTAACTTAGTCTAGTCCGAGTTGCTCCCAGTTGCTCCCCACAGCAGGATCAGCAACATATTTGGCAGGGTCCAGTTAAAGATGAGAATGAGAGATACTGTATTCACAGAGATTGAAGGCTTCCAAGATGGCAACCATTTTAAGCACTATGCCAAGCCTGGGGCCCTCTGGTCCGTGTCCTGCATGGAGATGCAGACCCCAGGCCCTTGGACCAGCCCTGTGTGGCGGGCGCCTCCCTTGACTCTTCTCACAAATGCCACCAGCACTGCCCTCTGAGGCCCCTCCCACTCATCTGAAGCTCCCAAGACACTTCTTTTTTTTTTTTAACTTTTATTTAATAAATATAAATTTCAAAAGTACAACTTTTGGATTATAGCGGCTTTTCCCTCCATAAGCTCCCTCCCACTCATAACCATCCCATCTCCCATGCCCTCTCCCATCCCATTCTTCATCAAGATTCTTTCTTTCTTTCTTTCTTTCTTTCTTTCTTTCTTTCTTTCTTTCTTTCTTTCTTTCTTTCTTTAACAGGCAGAGTTAGACAGTGAAAGTAAGAGAGAGAGACAGAGAGAAAGGTCTTCCTTTTTCCATTGGTTCACCCTCCAAGTGGCCGCCACGGCCAGCACGCTGCAGCCAGCGCCCCATCAAGATTCATTTTCAATTATCTTTATATATGGAAGATCAACCTAGTATATACTAAGTAAAAATTTCAACAGTTTGCACCCACACAGATACACAAAGTATAAAGTACTGTTTGAGTAGTAGTTTCACCATTAATTCGCATAGTACAACATTAAGGACAGAGATCCTACATGGGGAATAAGTGCACAATGACTCCCGTTGTTGATTTAATAATTGACACTCTTATGATGGCAGTAATCACCCGAGGCTCTTGTCATGAGCTGTCAAGGTTATGGAAGCCTGTTGAGTTCACAGCCTCCGACCTTATCAGACAAGGCCATAATCAAAGTGGAGGTTCTCTCCTCCCTTCAGAGAAAGCTACCTCCTTCTTTTTTTTTTTTTTTTTTTTTGACAGACAGAGTGAACAGTGAGAGAGACAGAGAGAAAGGTCTTCCTTTGCCGTTGGTTCACCCTCCAATGGCCGCCGGGGCCGGCGTGCTGCAGCCAGCACACTGCGCTGATCCGATGGCAGGAGCCAGGTGCTTCTCCTGGTCTCCCATGGGGTGCAGGGCCCAAGCACTTGGGCCATCCTCCACTGCACTCCCTGGCCACAGCAGATAGCTGGCCTGGAAGAGGGGCAACCAGGACAGAATCCGGCGCCCCGACTGGGACTAGAACCCGGTGTGCCGGCGCCGCAAAGCAGAGGATTAGCCTAGTGAGCTGCGGTGCTGGCCAGTACCTCCTTCTTTGATGGCTCGTTCTTTCCACTGGGATCTCACTCACAAAGATCTTTCATTTAGGTCATTTTTCTTGCCACCGTGTCTTGGCTTTCCATGCCTAAGAAACTCTCATGGGCTTTTTAGCCAGATCTGAATGCCTCAAGGGCTGATTCTGAGACCAGAGTGCTGTTTAGGGCATTTGCCATTCTATGAGTCTGCTGTGTGTCCTACTTCCTATGTAGGATCATTCTCTCCTTTTCAATTCTATCAATTATTATTAGCAGACACTGGTCTTATTTATGTTATCCCTTTGGTTCTTAGTCCTATCGTTATGATCAGTTGTGAACAGAAATTGATCACTGGGACTAGTGAGATGGCATTGGTACCTGCCACCTTGATGGGATTGAATTGGAATCCTGTGGCACATTTCTAGCTCTACCATTGGGGTAAGTCCAAGTGAGTATGGCACTTGCTTCTTTTCAAGGTGTTTTGTTTAGAAACACAGAGAGTCCAAATCATGCATTCCCAAATCGCCCCCACGTGAAACACCCTTACCCTCCGAATGTCCTGATATTCAGGATAAAATATGAATTTGGGAGGATACACTGACTTCCTGTGCTCAGCAAGAATGTGTGCAGGAAGCAGCTTCCGATTTAGAACTGAGGTTGAACTAATTCATGTGGAGGGCAGAAGGAGCTAGAAGGTTGAAGAAGTTACACGTTAGCATCAAAAAAGGCAGAAAAGTGGAGTGGGCATTCAGCCCAACAGTTCCTGCACCCAGGTCCCCTTTGCTTAGGGTGCCTGGGTTCAAGCCCCAGCTGCACTCCCAATTCTGGCTCTCTGCTAAGGCAGACCCTGGGAGGCAGTGGTGATGGCTCAAGTAGTTGCCCCTCCCCTCACGTGAGAGACTCCGGTTGAGTTCCTGGCTCCAGGCTTCAGCCTGCCCAGCTCTGGTCACTGCAGGCTTTTGGGCAGTGAGCCCGCAGATGGGAGATTTGTGTCTCAAATAAATAACTTTTTTATTAAAAAAAAAAAAAATGGAGGGGGGAACCTACATAGGAGTGGGGCAGAACACTGGCTATTGCGACACACGTGGAGGACTAAGCAAGAGGATGGGAAGGGAAAATTTAAGAAATTTTGTGCTATGATGGGGAAGCAGCTCCTTGTGGCATTCTTCAGTGGAGGCTTGAGCTGCATTTTTAACCACTTTTGGCTACACAAGTGCTTACAGCTGTGCAGCTGGGCAGACCAGACCACCTGATGTCCCTGGCTAAGATGTGTTTTATTGAAGAGTCCAGTGCGCCCCTCTCAGCATAGATGGTAAAATAGATACATAGAACAGGAAGAAAATTCATGTTGAAGATGGCAAATAGATACTTCCATTCTACAGGAGCTTACAAGTACCAGTGGAGGAATTTATGCCAGTTGATTCAAAAGATCTACATTTAACACATGTGATTATTTACTTAGGGGGCATAGTAGTGTGTCATTGAAAAAATATTCCCAATTAGGTTGAAAGAAGTATAAACACCTTGCACAAAGATGAAAACTTTTGAAGAGAACTTGCTGGGTGTTATTGAATTACTGTAATAAATAATAGACAATGCCAGAATGGGGGTGGGTCCAACAGCACAGAGAGAGCTAGAAAAGGGGGTGGGAACAAGCTTTGGCTGCTGAGGGGATGCGGGCCAGCCCTTGCAAATGGCTGAA